CACAACCAAGACAGAGAAGATGATTTTGGCAAAACAAAAAAAATGAAACAGAGAAGACGAAGGTGTCGTCGACCCAAACCAGAGGCAAAAAGAGAAAATTGCTTCGTATATTTAGAATATAAATTCAAGAAAAAATAGTGCAGAGAAGAAGAAGAGCCCAACCATAAGTTTGTATTGCAATATGTAAATCAGTTACAACTTAAAACGTTAAAGTGCAACCAACACACTTGGTTTGCTACACATAAGTAAGAGGACAAAAAAAAAATTACAGTAGTTCAAATACAAGTAAAAAACATATTACAACTGGGAAAACATTAACATAATTGGTACTTTGGTCAACTTCACTATGTCTTGATTGTTTCCAACCACTTTTTATTTGGAACAAATATCATTATCTGAAACCTATTCCAACCCACTTGTCCATCCCTGTGTCAAATAGCACTATAACCCACTTTATTAAACACATTGAATGTATAATCTAAATCTACAAAGGAATCTTCCTCCTCTCCTCTGGTTCAGGTCGACGACACATTCGTCTACTCTATTTCTTTTTGTTTTTTTTGCCTGAATCGTCTTCTTCGTCTTGTTTGTGAGCGTTAGGGAGGTGTACTATTACTGTTTTTATTTATGAATGTAATTTCCTGAGATTTTTTCACGATTGTATTGAGTCATTGTTTTACAAGGAGTAAAAACAATAAATAGGGACGAATGTTATCCTGTCGGGCCTACATTCACCACCTCCCCTTGAGTTTGATATTATCCTACCTACATTACGGTTTATTTGGTCCCAAGTATGGATTTCGGGGTCCTATTCAAACATGTGATATGAGGATACTCCGAGAAATTTAATGGAATTCTACCATCTCATCCCCAAAAGGAACATATAGAAGTGTATATGTGCATGGTGGTACATGTTGCTTGAGCATTACTTATAATATTTTTGTAAATATGGACGAAGTTACACAGGGACAAGGGGGGTACGGACCCATTCTCAATTTTTTAAAAATAAATTATATATATGCCTATATTTATAAATTCTAACATTTATACAAATATTTTTGCTTGTGCCCATCTTATACCTTTCTTACTTCAATTATTTAGTATTTTTTTATTTATCTTAAGGTTTTCTACTGATGATCTTAATATTTATATTGATGAATTTAAATGTTATTTTCTTAATTTGAAAGTGAAAGTATTTGTATTGATCTTCAATCGACTTATGTGATAACTCATATCTATTTTTATTCGACTATTGATTGTTGTGTTTATTATGTATCGGTCGATTTTTAAATTTTTTTAATATATTTAGTTCTTAAATTTTAGTTTAATGACTTTACTATTTTAATATCCCAGTGATAATGTTTAAAAGATAATTTATTGAATAAATTTAATGAATGGTCGACAAATAACTGACACATTTTTAATTACTAAAATGAAAATTAACTCCACTTTTTTATAATGGTGATAATTATTCATTTTTTATACATTGTTTTGGGTCCTTTTATGTTGAACGGATTTCATGTATCAAATACGATATAATTAATATAAATACATTATTTTGTTGTGATTGGTTAGGAAAAAACAAAATTAGAATATGTAATTAAAGTGTCCATCGTAAAAAAAATTTTTGGCCCCTGCTCGTAAGTAATTTTAAATTTTCTATCTTTAATCTATTCTTCTTTCTTTCTTCTTCTTTTTTCTTTGTATATTTCATAAAACTTTCCATTATTCTAAAGGGTTTATTAGTACTATTTTTACTTTTGATATTGAAGGGCAATTAAATAAGATCCACCCAAACACAACCTGCCCTTCATATACATCCTTCATGTCTCCATTTTTCAAATCAAGAACTAAATTTTCTAGGTATTAAGGAGCATCAAAATTCCAATCATTACAAAGAATCTCTGTTAGCTCTCTGTATATCCAGCACATGAAATTATTTGGGAGAGAATTGGAGCATATGATCATTCCCACTCAATGATCAGCTGCCTTATTATTAGACCTAGAATAAAAATTGTTACTTGATCATGTCTCCATATTGGTTCAAAAATAAAAATAAACATCATGTCTCCATACTAGGAGTAAACCGTGTCTGAAGGTACAGTGTAACGTAAGTGAGAAATGATGGATTTGGGAGGAAAAAAATTCAATGTAAATGATTTTGAGAGGGACGTTAGTAGCAGTTGGATGAACCTATTCAATACTGTCGAATGAACTTATTGAAACCTGTCATATTTCATATTATATATATAAGTCGAACATAATGCATCGCATCAATTCAAACAAAATACTTTACTGATAATTTGGGATCAACTGTGTGATTTATTTTACGACATTTTGTTCAATCTTAATGCTATATGTTCAATTAAATTACAAGGAACTATATCCTTATTGTTCAACTCACTATGCGTTAATTTGAATTTTTTTTATTTTTGGGTGACAAATATTAGGTGCAGAAAAATTCATGCCCATACTCCTCGAGGCATTGCATGCTATTCAAAACATAGATTTAAACTTTTAGATGCACCAATTTTTGAGATAAAACTCCTCTCTAAGGGCTGTTTCTGTAGCTCTGTTTCAGGTATAGAAGAGTAGGATTGGAGTGATTTTATCCAAGGGTAAATTATCCCACCCTTAGGGGCATGTTTGGTTTATGGGTTTTGATGGAATTCATATAGGAAGTTTTGTTAAAATAGTTCAATGCATCATCTTATTCTTTATTTTGTTGCAGATGTGAAGTCTGGAATTTCAATCCCGGCCTGTAATATTCCCGTAAGTAATACCTATGTATAAGGGTTTCAGCAAACCCATGGGGTGGATGGACTTGGGTGGGTTTAGATAATTTTATAGCAAATATTATAATTAATTCTTAGGTCTCATGTATATTTATGTCACTTACCAAACATGAGATTAGGTATAGTTCATTGTCCAATCCCATGAACGAAACCTAAGGATTGAATTCGGAAAGGTTTCATAAATCTGATCCAATTCCCATCTTAACAATCATCCAAACAGCCAGGAAGTACATTCGGATTTGGAATAAGCCCAAAATCCCTATATCCCTATTTCAAATTCGAGAGAGAAAGGATAGGATTAATCCCGGGTGGTAGGGTAACTTTATTAGGTATAGGATAACATTGTGGGGACGTGTAGGCCTAGTAGATAACTTGCAAGAAAAAGACTAGTTTACCCTTCAAACACCAATTTCAAGAGTTTTTTTTTTTTAATCAGACAATTTCAAGAGATTGAATCAGTAATTTGGTGCAGTTTGGTTAAGGCTACCCTTCGAAGGATCTTCTAACCCAATTTTGCCGCCGAACGATTGGTTCCGTAAGTAAAAATTCGGATTTTTTCGTTTAATATTTGTATATTTTTATAATTATCACATATTGATAGGGTTAACCTTAACTTTGGTTCCGAAATAAATAAGGTGGGGTCTCCTATAGATGTCTGTGTGTGGTTGAATGCAATGTTCTCTAATAAATATATGGAATGATCTATCTACATATCTATTTTCTGTATTAAAAAAATTCTGTGTGGGCTACATTGGATTGGAATGAATAGTCCAATCTAATCTTTTCTTATTTCTTTTTTTTAATTTTTATTTTGGATAAATCTTTTCTTATTTCCAAAAAAAAAACAAATAGTACCTTTATATATATGTTAGCACATAAAAACAACCACGGAAAAGAAGTACTTTAAATATATTTTTTAATTAAATCAATTGGTTATACATCATTAATTTCATCCATAAATACTAAATGACAACCTTCTCCAATTCTGTTTAGTCGGCAAAAGAGTATCAACCATTCAAATCATACATTACTTGTTTCTTTTTCCCTTGTTGAACTAAATAGAGTTGGTTTTTGGGTCAAAATTTGAGTTCGTTATCACGGGTTGTCACTATTCAATAGAAACACAATAAAAATTGTGCCTACTTTTTTTACTTGGGATAGTTATCGGATGATATGAAGAAATAATTATTAAAATATATAAGATTCACTTGTTATATTCTTATTGAATAATAACACTATATAACATTGATGATACCGTTGTAATGAATATTTTCTCCTAATGAAAATAAGTTGTTGTTAAGATGATCTTGTGGGTTATTAGGAAACAAAGCTAGATTTCAAAACCTTCACATACCCATAAAAGAAAAGAAAAAAAAAAACAAATGGACCATAAAAATTTGGACAGCTTGGTCTAGACCAGTGACAGTTATGAGCCAACTGGTCGATTGGTGCAGGAGCTCACCCAGCCCACCATGGTCACTCTCCTTAATCGTATTTTTATCTGTTGTTTTTTTTCTCCATGGCATGGCAGCAAGGTTAAAGATCTAACAACATAAATTACAATAGTAATTATCTATTAATTATGTCACAGTACTAACTTTGTTGTCGTTCTTCCATTAATCTCAACTTTGATATTATACTTTTGTGATAATATACACATTGAAAGTAAGTGCCGAAAAGTATATTTTGTGACGAAAATGGATCAATAGAAGTTACACTATTACCACGTGAAAGAGTTTCAAGAATTCTTGTAGTGAACCAGTTTCATAACTCTCACCAAACTTGTCACCAACCTTGTTATTACTACCTCTTCATCCTTAAAACCTTTTCATATCTCCTCTTCACCGATGTTTGACCAACATAAAGATTATTAAAACGTACAGTTAGATACAGAAATTAAATTATTTAAATAAACAAAAAAACCCAATAAAAGGTACAATTTAAATACAAAAATGTATGTAATTAATCTAAGAGTAAATTTCTGATAATCAGTCATCTTCATAAGAAACCAAAAGGAAAACAATCCCAAAGACAGAGTACCTTCCATCTCCATCTCCAACTCCAACTCCTGACTTTCCTTTTACTGTTTGCAAGGCATTGTGTCATCACCTACCGCTGATAACTCCATCCTTCCTTCTTCATTATTCCCACCATTCTATGTACCTATTCTTTCTTTGCAAACACAGCAGTGTTTTCTTCTCATTTTTTGGGTTTTGATCTTTAAGAAGAGGGAAACATAGGCTGGTTTGAGAAAGCACCATCTCAGCTTAGATTCAGACTCACATTTGCCTCTAAACAGAAGAACCAGACACGAAATTAGTCTTACTGGCTATATAACTGGTGTTTCTGGGAACTGGGTTGATTTGGGTGTCCTAGAAATGTGGTCTTTTTGATATAGTCTTTTTGGGCTTGTTTGATCAGAGATCTATGTTTGATGTTTGGATAATTGTCTGAGAGATCTATGTTTGATGTTTGGTTAATTGTCTGAGGAAATGGGGTTTCTGAGATCTGGGGTTTGAAGGTCGCTCCTCTGTATCTTCTCTGAAACAGGTATGAGACAACAATCTTCAAAGAACGTTACAACATTTTCTTTGTTTTTTTTTTCGAATTTTTTTATTTCTTCACGGAATGCATTAATCGTGTATGCTGGTAGAGTAATTAAATGAGATACAGAAAATGATCTTGGGTTAGTGGATCTCTTGTTTAAATTGTGTTCTTGATTGTTTAGTAACTACATGGACTTTCCTACTGTGTTGTTGGATCTTGTTTATTGCATTGTGTGTTTCTACATGTTTTTCCTACGAAAAATTGTTGGCTTTAGTAGGAAATGTGAACTTTTTGTCTCTTCACCTGTGAGGGTTGTAGGTGGGGGGCCAGGAATGTTAGGGGTGCTAGCAAAATATCTTAAAATTTTATATGAATGATGGAACGGTATCAAAGTTAATGTTAGATTTATTATCTGCATTCTGGAGTTTAACACTTCATGTCACTTGAATTTGTTCCATAGGCGGCTTGGCATCTGAAAGAAATGGCTACTGGTCTAAATGCTGAATTATCGAAAACTGCCATTCTTGGCCTTAAGGTTTGGGAATTGATTGGGATCATTGTGGGGTTATTTATTGTAGTTATCCTCTTTGCATTAACGTTTTATCTTACTTCGCGGAAGAAATCGAGAAGAGCTAGAGAAAATATTCCCCTTAGTCAAATTCCAGTTGATTCAAAGGAAATTAAGGAAGTACGTGTGGAGCAAGTATCAACAAATGAATTTGCTCCACGAGAGGGGATTCTTCTCACAATTCATGACAAATCCAGTGATAAAGAATCAGATAAGGTTCTGGTCCATCTGGGAATGGGAAAAACAAAGAATGTAGAAAACAGCAGTCAATTGGGTTCATTTCATCATGTTGATAAAGATTGTGGTGGGTCACAATCAGGAGAAGAAGGGAGTTCTGGCACATTTGCTGTGTATAAAACTTCTTCTTCACATCCAATAACGGCTCCTTCTCCTTTAATTGGCCTGCCTGAGTTTTCTCAATTGGGTTGGGGTCACTGGTTCACGTTACGAGATCTTGAAGTTGCAACAAACCGATTTTCAAAGGAGAATGTTCTTGGCGAGGGAGGATATGGAGTTGTTTATCAGGGACATTTGGTTAATGGGACGCCAGTGGCAGTTAAGAAGCTCCTCAACAACCTGTGAGTTTGAAACTCTTTATTTATTTCTTACCTTTTTAGTTTTTCACTGTACTATTTTTCATCAGTTGCCTAAATTTCAGAGTTAAATATTTGTATTCTTTGTGTTTAGAGGCCAAGCGGAGAAAGAATTTAGGGTGGAGGTTGATGCTATTGGCCATGTGCGTCACAAAAATTTGGTTCGCCTTTTGGGATACTGCATTGAAGGAACTCATAGGTACTATTCTTGATCAGACTATCACATGATTGCTTGTCTATGGGTATTCATACCCAAAAAGAGTCACCTCCAATGTTAGAAAACAAAATCTTGGAAGGAAAAAAATATTTTCTTTCATTTTCTTGTTGCCTATTTTATTCACACATGCATCCAAGTCCCAGGTGGGACTTCAAACCTGAACCTCGTTATCTCGGGTGGCAGGAGATTTAACTTAAACGAACTGCTGGTAATATTATGCTTGTAAGACCTGTATTCCTGCTCAGTTTTTGCTTTTCCTTTGTAACAGTACTTGTCTCATTTATTTTATCCATTTCAGGATGTTAGTCTATGAGTATGTCAACAATGGCAATTTAGAACAATGGCTCCATGGGGCTATGCGCCAGTATGGATATCTTACTTGGGAAGCCAGGATCAAGATTCTCCTTGGCACAGCTAAGGCGTAAGTTAAATCATCTTTGTCTTTCTTTGAACATTCATAGATCTCATTACATGTGGCACATTTGTTGCAGTCTTGCATACTTGCATGAAGCAATTGAGCCAAAAGTTGTTCACCGAGACATAAAATCAAGCAATATATTGATTGATCATGACTTCAATGCCAAGGTTTCTGACTTTGGACTGGCGAAGCTGCTTGGTGCTGGGAAGAGTCACATCACAACTCGGGTCATGGGAACCTTTGGGTTAGTATACCTTCATTATTAGTTCTAATATTCCCAAACCCTACTTAATTTATCACTTTATTCTTTTTCTTTTTTCGTTCTTGTTTCTTTAAGGGTTGGATTTGTGAAGACCTAGGTATAAGTTAGGCTGATTTAAAAGACATAATATTTGAGTTTTATTCTCTTTCTTTTGCTACGGTACAGATATGTAGCTCCTGAATATGCAAATTCTGGTCTTTTAAATGAAAAGAGTGATGTTTATAGCTTTGGGGTTGTGCTTTTGGAAGCAATTACAGGAAGAGATCCAGTGGACTATGGTCGTCCTGCTCAAGAGGTATGCATTTATCATGAGCTAATATGAGAATCTGTTAAAATCCGGACAGTGAAGATGATTCTGAATTTTCATTATTACAAAAATGTATCATAATTTGGATTCAGTGTGAAAACTTCAATAAATAATTAATCATGCATGTGATATTGGATATATTACTAAGATCCATTGAGAACAATTTAGGTTTTATTGTTTTTCTTGTGCGCCACTCTTATTAGTGATTTTGTTCTATAGCCTAAAATTAGTTAGTGTATTGATCCTACTCACTTAGTTACTTAAGATTTCTTTCAAACATTAGTACTTTAGACAGAATGAGGGTTTATGTGCAAGTATAGAGTTATTATGACGATTTATGTATTGATAGCATTTGTCTTATGACTTTGGTCATGACTCCATCCCCCGCCATGCTAATTACACAATTTTCCATAACTGGCCAACTCTTTTGTGGTATTTGCATAATGTCCACATTTTCAAGATGTAGATATTTTTGAGTTATAAGATTTTGGGGATTTTGTTAGGTATTCAGCCCACTTGTGCAAATAGATCTCCTCCTCAATACTTCTTCTCAAATCCTAACATGGTATCAATTCAGGATTTCTAGTGTTTGAATCCCAACATCATCCTAATAATTATAAAACTTGCACATGTTTGGCCCAACTAAAAGCTTAAGTTGTGATGGTGATTGTAACAAAATTTTATATACTTTAACACGCCTCCTCACCGGAGGGCCAGATTTTGGATGAAACACGTGCAAATTTTATAATTCTTGGGTTGACGATGAGATTTGAATACAAGACCTGATCTAATACCACGTTAAACTGCTATCTCATCAAAATTGTAAGTTATTAGAGATGATGTAATAGAAATATTTATAAACTTTAACAGGCTCCCTCACAACTGACAGATTTTAAGTTAAACACGTGCAAGCTCTATAGTCATTAGGAAGATAAGGAGATTCAAACGCAAGACCTGCTGTGCTAACACCATATTAAATACTCTCATCTATTAAGTTGTTAGAGAGGGTGTAATATAACTGCTTATATACATCGGCTTATTTATCATTTTCACTTTTCTTTATATATTCTCCTTTTCTGTTTGTCTTTTCCTCTTTATTTTCCTAGTGAGGCTTATATTAATTTTGTTGATCATATAATTTTCTGAAACGATATCCACATCAACAATCTATTTACAAGTTAGGGATTGGGACATATCCCCTTTATTGGTATTTAACACCTGTATGTTGTTATAAATTTATTATGCATCAATTCTATTGATGAGGTTTATGGAATTGTTCCATCACCACATATATTTCAAACAGCTAAATGTCTTGCAAGCTCTTTTGTTTTTATCAATATATGCTCTGCATGGATCCATTTATACCTTTTCAGTATTTAATTTTGAAACATTTATGTGCTCTGTATCAGTTGCTTGTATATAATATCCGATGTAGCTATGCTAAAATCTTTAATTTATGGAAATTAATAAATGAAGTCTTTAAGGAAAAAGGAAAGAAAAAACCTTTCTTTCTTTCAGCTGGTTGATTTGTTACATGCTTTCCACTAACACCCACCGTTTTTGACTTATATCTGGTTATTTGACTTCAAATATGCACTGATTCGTCAATATCTGGAGTTTCACTGTCTTTTCAAGTGTAACCCTCGTGATGGTTTGCAGGTGAATCTTGTTGATTGGCTGAAAATGATGGTTGGAAGCAGGCGCTCGGAGGAAGTAGTGGACCCTAACATTGAAACCCGTCCATCAACAAGAGCACTAAAACGAGCCCTTTTAACTGCTCTGAGGTGTGTTGATCCAGATTCTGACAAAAGACCTAAGATGAGCCAAGTTGTCCGTATGCTTGAATCAGAGGAATATCCCATACCAAGAGAGGTCAGTTTCTGATTTTACTATATATGGCCTAAACAATTTTGTTTTTTTTTTTTTTTTGGATTTATCGAAAAGGAAACTGAACAAATTGCGCCTGGTTTTGTTTGAATTAATCTTCTCCCTAGTTCCACCTCTAGAAAAAGTGAATTTATCTTTTTTTTTCCATTCAAACAATTTATTTACATCAGCTTTGCTCATTTTATGTGTAAAACATTTTAAGCTACAGAGTTAATGCCTCATACAGACTTACAGAATTTTGCCACAAGTTTTGAAATAAATTTGTATTCGTAATTCATCTAGTATAACACAATGAGAAACTTCCTGCATGTTCTGTGACGCCCAAAAATCGAGAGTCCCGTTGATCACCCATCAACCCGCGGAATACCTGTGGAGATCATATAACTCGATACTATACCGTTGTGTCTCATTTATCGGGATCCATAATTTAACAAAATCGGGCGGAGTCTCCTTTGTACGAAGAGCTCCACCCAAGATACAACTTGTATACCATACAATCATATGACCCATTCAAGGTCTAACATACCACGTTGACCATACCGGGTCCATTTATCCATACTCCCACATCATAAGTTATGCATTAACATAGTTAATAAAAGTTCAAGGTTACAATTTTTTACATATATTACATGTCAAACATAGTTTGAACAAAAGTTTACAAAACAGTCATGGTTAAAGGCCAATTGTCGGCCCCTCTTCACCCTTAAGGCCCCATATAAGAGTCCTCTGCCGGTGCGCACCTTGCACCCGAAATGTTTCCTGTATAGGGTGAGCCAACGTCCAGTAAAATATTTTCTACAGAGGCTACTCCCCATTCTAAGTGCATATGAAATGTGCACATGCAACAAATAACCACTTTTTTCATTCCAAACAAGAATAATGCATTCAATGTTGGAACATGATAATATCATGCCATGAAATGAGATGAGACTCACTCATGCATCTAATCCCGAGTCCACACCGACTCCCACCACACAATGCGATGCAAATGTGGTAAAACATTTGTCTTTGAATGGAATACATCCAAAGACCACCTTTTAAAAAATGTAATCCATGTTTTATAAAACTAATTCATTCTTGAATGTTTCCCATAAAATGAATTTATTTTAAAACAAATCCATGTGTTTTTGTTGGGTAGCGAATTTTTGGTGTCGCATCGCCGGCTCCGCATACCGATACACTTTTGGACTTTCACCGTCAGAGTGTATGAATCAGTGACCGGGTTTTTCACCTGAGGGAGTGTCTAGGCCTACTTGCCTTATCCGACACATGTTTTTCTTGTGACTCTGTTGAACCTTAGTCCAACAGTACCGAGTCCAAGTTTTTCATGCAACCGTGCGACTCAATAGGATGTTTCATCCTACTTTTCCGAGCCCACCACCAACCACCAAGGATGATGATTGTCCAACCATGCAACCACACCCATGCTCATGGTTATGGATGTGTTTATCTTGTGCATATTTAATGTAATGCCTCATTGCAAACTACTGCCATGTTCAATATGTAATGAATGTCATATAAACAATTTAAACATATGCCATGATCAATTATATCCAAACATATAAATTTTATGATCATCATAATGCTAACATATCGTTAAGCATACATCAACATAACATTACAATTGTAAATCACATCATAAGCATGTAATTTCACTTTATCACATTTTTCAAGCATGCTATTTTATCAAACACAACTTCAATCATTCAAGGTATTTTATCAAACACCTTCAAGGCACCAATCATGTAATCACATAATTCACTCATATTCATCGTATAACTCAAGAAATCATATTAAGTGGTTTCTACCGTTGACCATCCGTCAACCCGTGGAAAGATCCATGAATGTCACACAAACCGATATCACGTCAATAATATCTCTTTTGTTTGGGATTTTAACTCACGTGTAACCCGTGATCCTTTAATCATTTAATCCAATCGAGGTCTATCACACCTCGATATATATCAAAAACCAAAGAACACATAGTGATGAGTGCAAAATGTTGTATATTTGAAGGCTTCATTACATGCATTTTAACTCAACTTTTGCATGTAAGTACTTAGAGTGAGCCGAAATTATGAATAATGTTGATATTTGGATGTTGCAAGTATTTATAGCATAAATCAAGTATTTTAGAACCTTGCAATTATTTTGGATGTGTGGTGAAGGTATGACCACATTACATGAGGATTTGGAGGCTTAGAAGTTAAGACATCAAAGAGGTATTGGTGTTTAGTAACAAAGGTACCAGCACTAGCTCCCTCTGGTGGAAGTACCTTTGTTTTTCTCCATTTTTACCATATCCACTCAGAATCTGGAAAAGTTTAAAACACAAAAATTGTAGATCTAGATGTCTTCTGTATTGTGTCAAAATTTCAGCTCAATCCAACGGTTGGATCAAAAGTTATAACGATTCTACGACAACTGGTCAGGAGTAGAAAAGTGTACCGACTTTTCTTCACCCAATTTCTATATCCATTGCAAATCCTTTCTTACAAGATTTATTTAGCACATTTAGGCACCTTTTTCCTACACTTAACATACACTAATGGTTCATTCAACAAGATAATTTATCTCAAGTCATGGCCACCCATCCTCAATACCCCTTTTTAACTAAACCATCAATTTCAAACTAGAAATTGATTATATCCTTTCTACACCAACTCTATAACCATAGGCAAGTGAATTACATAGTTCCATATGCCTACTATTTTTCCATCCAACCAACTACGGTAGAAAAATTTTAAAATACACAAAACAATCCATGTAAACCCAATTTTTCAAGAGTTTACACTAATAACTTCCACATATCAAATGTGAGCTAAAACTTGATTTTTCTTCCTTCTCTTTTAATCTCCCTCACTTTAGGTTTCCAACAAGCAAGAACACACACACACTGATGTATGAGTTAAACACACTCACTTTTCTACATATTAAAGCACACATAACTTCCATCCAAGAAATTACACAAGTACTTCCACATAATAAAACAAAGTAGGACTTGAATCAAACTCATTCCACACCTACTTCCTTAAGGCATAAAATAACATTTGTTATTTAATCACAATTCACAACACACATGTTATACATAGCTCATGCTACTAATACATTCAATTTTCAAGGGATTTTACAAGTGATTTCCACATATCACATACAATTAGAAATTGACCTAAGCTATTTCTACACCCTTTTTCATTCCCATTTTATCTATTTCACATGCATAGGTGAGTGATATATATATACTCTTTAATAACCTACACATTGTACATACACTATAGGTAGGAAATGAACCAAGGTAGGAAAACCTCTACCTCTTTGAAGTGTGGAGACTTTAAAAACACCAAAACAAGCCCCAAGTTCTTGATTTTCCAAAAATTTGCCTTTGAATCTTCGGTGAAAATCGTTGTTTTTGGTATAGACGCGTAGCTCTCGACGAGAGGAGCAATTTTAGTTCTTGGCTTGTGTCGATTTGAGCACCGTAGCGCCGTAGATCGTAGAGAGAAGGTGAGTTTCTCTTCTTTTTTCCTCTCTTGCTCTCTCTTTTGTTTTAACGTGAAGACCAGCCGACAATGGTGGGGAAGAAGTCTGATTTCTTGCCCTTTTTATAGTCCCAAAATCCTTGGCTCACAATGCGCCACATAGCCCATTCTTTCCTGGTCCATTTTAACTCCGAAATGATTAAATTTCGTCCCGATTTAAGTTTAAAATATTTTTATTTTAAATTATCTCAAATTATTTCTCAAATTTTAAAATTTTTGCCAAAATTTCGTTTTTTGAGTCACCCAAGACTCAACCGCCTCGAAAAACGTGAAAAATTCGACTATTTCGGAATTCGATAAAATTTGACAGGGTAACTAAATTTCGCGTGACGAATTCAACGGTGAAGTCCGTTTCGTCATCTGAGTTCCAGAAAATTTCAGGTTTTCGACTCGTACTGTAGTGACAAAATTACCGTTTTGTCCTTGTTTTCAAAAGTTTAAGTTTACTTGGTTTTACATGTTCAACCATCTTGCTCTAATTAGTGAGTAACCCTCTTGTTTCTCTATCCTTGTGGATTTTCTCTAATCTAATAGTTAGCATCCTTTTCATTACGTCATCTCTAAGGTCTCGTTCAAGGTAACAGAGAAAAAATCGTCCTGGGTGTCCAGCTACCAATCTTATGAAGACTCTAGTACCCACTTATTATACTTTTTAAATTTCATTATACATTTTTTATTTTTGTCTTCATCGTCTTGAAATCTGAGTTAAAGCATCTTCTACTGTTGTAGCTTAGCTACTTTGGTTCATCAACATAAACATATTATGTAAACATATGTCATATACCTCGTCCTTGATGAAAAGAAATTTATTTGGGAAGTGCCTAGGTAGGTTCCATTTTGATATGCGTACCTTTTCAATAAAGAAACATATAAATATGGTGTTTTGTACATTTTTTTTGTGTTGGTATCTCTGAATTCCTGTGCATTGTTTCTTGATCACATATAGTTGCATGCACTTGCACATCCTTGTGTTGAAAATTTTACTTGTGAATATTTTATTCTGTTTCTACATTTCTGCATCATTATTGGATTTGGCTATTCAAAGCATTAATTCTTGAGGTAATAATAGATTTTGTCTTGAGAAATTGTACTAGAAGTGCATAACTGAGTAACACAAAGTTATTGCCCCAGTTGGTAATATTTGTAAATGGATGGGTGGGTACGGTCAAACAATTGATATTCTAGATTCCTCTTGCTTTATTTCTTGAGGCTGAGAACAGAGATTACCTACCTCTGAATAGTTCTATCATGAATATATGTCAATCTAGATTGCTTTAAGTTGCAGCCCTTAAAAGTCCTAGTGAAGAGGTAATATTCTGCGTTACTTATGGTTTGGCTGTGTAGAGTGTGAGGTAAGATATTTTTGTTTTCCAGAGGTTTCAAACAAAGATACTATTAAAGATTTACTCTTTTAGATATAGTATCGTGACTGTTGTTCAAGGCCCGCCAAATCTTAAT